ATATCTCAAGTAAGCTCCAGGTTTTAGGTTACTATATAAATCAAATAGTCATATCAGTGTGGAAGGTTTTACAGATGCTGACTGGGCTGGTTCTCCTTCAGACAAGAGATCTACTACAGGCTACTGCATATTTGTAGGAGGAAATCTTGTTACATGGAGAAGTAAAAAGCAAATGGTGGTAGCTCGATCTAGTGCTGAAGCTGAGTACAGGACAATGGCACATACCACTAGTGAGTTGACATGGATACAACATTTTCTAAAAGAACTTGGGTTGACAGTTAAAACTCCTACTCCATTGTTTTGTGATAATCAAGTAGCTGTTCACATTGCATCAAATCCTGTGTTTCATGAGAGAACCAAACATATTGAAGTTGATTGTCACTTCATTCGAGAAAATATATTAAGTGGGAGCATCTCTACCCCATTTGTGAAGTCTGAAGATCAATTAGCTGATATGTTTACCAAAGCATTGGGTCATAATCGATTAAAGACTATCTGTTCCAAGCTGGGATTATTTGATATATATTCTCCAACTTGAGGGGAAGTGTTAGAATGTTTTGGGTCATTATGTAATTACATATAGTTAGTAGAGTCATTGTGTAATTAGCTAAGTCTTGTATCTTTATATAAGCCATTGTAGACGTAGGGTTTAATATATGAAATATACACAATTCTCTGTCTCTGTCTCTCTCCTATCAGTTTGAACAAAGAGGACACAAGCAACCCAAGGTTTTGTCTAGAATAGACTAGAGAGGGCCCCATACTTGGGCCCAAAAGAGAAATTCGGGAGAGAGACGAAACAATTTGTTGAAACCACATAGTATTTGTAAATGCTTTATTGATTGACCCTGGGAATAAATAAAATAAAATTTGAGAACCTAGCCATGATCAACCTGGATCTTTTCCTTTACGTGTAGACCAAAAAGATTAAACTTTTGCACACTCCAGGGACCAACTCTTACAAAAAGCTCTGGGAAGTTCTTTGATCCGGAGATAATTATTCTTAGGTGGGATTAGTAATTTATAATCCAGGATCAGTAAGGACACTTGAATCTAGATCTTTTTCTCAGCCCCTCCATTTGGCGTAAGAGTGAGGAATGTCTGTCAAACAGGTCTCCAGGGTAACAAATGCTCAAGGATACTTAAAATTTATGCAGGCAAGTGGATCAATGCTGGAGGGGAGCTTCTGAGGTGCCCATGGCAAATGGTTCAAAATTCAACCGCAGGGGAAAGTAAGGTTCTCAACTCGAAAATGTGAAGGAAGGAGCAGCAAAAGAGAGCAAGGAATGTAGATTGTTGACCTCGACATAGTTTTTATAAGATTATACACACCTTATTTCAACTTGGCTTTGACTATTTTAGGATTCAAGGTCAAGTCTGCACCGCAAACCCAATAAACACAAAGGCAAGTATGACAGGAAGACCCTACCGTTTGAAGTTCCCTAATACAATCTGGATGGCTTGGGCTCAGTTCTCAAAGTTGAAAAAAAAATGAGTAACGGAAGATGTGATGCAGAAAGAGTGGGTAGTACAAATGAGCCCCTGATACCATAAGCTCTCTTCATGGGAAGGGGAAAGGTCCAATGGAGAGTCTGATCCTAGATGGTAAGGAAGCATCATTGGGATGCTCATTAATGGAGATTAGGCACAAGGCAATACCTCACACAAGGAGGCAGTCTTCGCGGCTGGTGCAGAGGCCCTTATTTGAAGACATAGAGGTGCCAAAAATTAAAGACTATTCCTCCCAAACCTCACAAAGGTCAGAGAGCGAGCACAAATTGTTTTCATTTACTATACATTATGTTACACCAACTCATTATACTTCTATATGAACAATGAGGAAGGACAGCATTAAATATTTGGCTGAGTCCAATACCCTAAATTTTGGATTATGAACGGCTAGACACATCTGCACAAAAATCTGGTACTATAAAGCATTAACCTTAAAAGAGGAAACTATCATCCAAATTACTGAGCAACAATCAGAAGAAGGATTCATAGTGTTTCAGTAGAACGGTCATACCTGTAGCTTTAGAGGAATCTCTTGTGTCCTCAGGACCACTGCAGGGTGTTCTCCTCTTGTAAAATTGTAAACCATCACTTGCTGGATTAGGCAACAAAGGAGGATGCATGGCATAGAAGTTTGCTAGAGCAGGGCAATTGATTGAAAACAAATTTTCTCATCATCCCAATCAACCTACAATAATGTGCTAAAATCAACTTTCTTTTTCTTTTTTTGGTAGTTAAAGCAAACACACACACCTATACCCACAACATGCCCCCTAGAGGTTCGAACTCTTAATGTGCGAAAATCATCATTTGCACAAAGTAAAGCACATATCCCAGCTTTGAATGAACAATACAAGATTCAGAATGCAAGCTTCTTGGTCATGTCTGAGGATTCACCTCCATCTCCAGAAACAACGCACGATGATGGTTTTAAGTGTTAATATTGTAAATATTAAACAAGCAAGAAGAAAGTTTTAATCAGAAGCACAAACAATACAGAAATATTCTTTATGTTTTATCCATATTAACCAGTCCCAAACGAGTCTAATAGTAGAAGAATCAATGCTCTTCTAGAGCATAGCTTCATATTTCTCATTTTTTTTTTTTTTTTTTTTTTTTTTTTTTTTTTTTAAGTAAGATTTTATAGAAGGCGCTCAAAAGGGGAGCGCTCCCAAAGAAGACAATAGCCGTCCAAGACAACACTATAGCTTTAAGCTATCCATAAAATTCAAAAGACAATCCATTGAATTACAATCAATAATCAATAATTTATATATAGAGGACATAGTTACAAAAATAAAAAGAAAAAAGGACAGCGCACTTCGATCGACCAAGCGATCAATCAAAGGCCACTGAACTTCTGTCTATCGACGGATACTTGGCTCGATTGATTGAAATATGGCGAAATCAATTTCCTTTTGAAAACAAATCTCATAAACCCCCCAAGTATTTTTCGAGACTAAATTCTAATACACCTCATGTTAAGAAAAATTATGCAACCATTATATTACACTCTAAGCATATCGAGAGCATATGAAGTGAGTTGAGAGTGCGTTCCAGAAAAACTCTACTACAACTTTGTTTATTTGATGTCGTCATTATACATAGCTCAGTAACTATTGCATCAAGGTGTTGATCATCCATTGATACTGAACCTACAAAGTATTCAGCACCATTTAAAGAATTTTTCACACCAGTAAACTCTACTTGGACGATTAGTTGAGGAAATCAAAGCCTAGGTTTGGTGCTTGCAACTATCAAACTACTATACTTACACTCGAGTACTGTATAGTTATTTAATTGTTTGATTTAAACTTCAAGTAGTACTACACTTTAGTATTAAGAACCTGTATTGGACTGAGTAATGTTTCATAGCACCTTTATTCAATTCTGAATTTTCAACATCCCATTTATATGGAGGCATGTGTGTGCGAGTACCAACTAAAAACAAAGGACTAGAAGAACCTCCAAATGTAGAACACAGACAGACAAACTGCCATGGTAACAAAAAAAGCCTGACAAACTTCCATTTAGACCCAAACAATCTAAACTATTAAGTATTAACAAGATGCATTCAAAATACATAACATAAAGATCAACAAGACTAATAAATTAGAACCACCCCCACCTACCCAAACAAAAGAGACTATAATCAGCTAGATCACACCCAAGGATATCAAAATCAACCTATTTATGTTAACAAAAAGTGATAAGATACCACCAGCTTCTCAGATCTTGGTACTAAGAATCAAAAGCCATTTTCGCCACTGCCAGAAAATGGATTAAGATCCTAGGGCTTCAACTAGAATTCAAACAGAACACCACCAAATGGAAAGACTCAACCTAGTGACCAACTTGATATTATGTTAGAGAATCAAACTTTAACCCCATTTTAACCACTACGATACTAAGCTGTTATTGTGTTTAGATCATAGAAAAAATAAGGAAGGGTGAGAGAAAGAAAGAGTTACGACAAATGCATCGAACCAAGAACAAATCATGAATCAAGACAGAGAAGCAAACACGCCACACAAAGAACACAAAGATTTAGTGTGGTTCGACACAAGTTATTTTTACGTCCACGGTGGAGATTCGGGGAAAGATTCACTACGCAAAAAATAGGAGATTATGAGTTTTAGCTCCCGAGCCCTAGTTCTCACTCTCACTCTCTTTCTTGGAAATTTTCAATGTTCTCTTGTTAACACACTCCAAACCCATTCCCACGTGTCGGTGCTTCGTAGCCGGAATCCCAATTGGATGTATGCTACGATGGTAAAAATGGATGCTTTACAGCAAAATGAAATATGGGAGCTCGTATCTCTCCCTTCTGGTGAAAAGACTGTTAGTTGCAAATGCGTATTCAGTGTTAAATATTTGGCCGATGGCTCTATTAATCGGTATACGGTCCGTTTGGTGGCCAAAGGGTTTACTCAGGTTCTTGATAAAAACTTTAATGATACCTTCGCTCTAATGGCTAAATTGACCCAGCTCATTTGCTTGTCTCCCTGGTTGCCTCTCACAATTGGCCTCTTCATCAGCTTGATGTGAAAAATGCTTTCCTTAACGGTGATTTTCGTGAGACTATTTCTATGGATCCTCCATCCGGTTTTTGGGCTGAGGGGGAGTATGTTGGAAAGGTCTGTCGATTGTGGAAGTCTTTGTATGGGTTAAAACAATCTCCCAGATCTTGGTTCAACCGCTTCAGTGATGTAATTTTATCCATGGAGTTTGTTAGATGCCATTCTGACCATACATGTTTTATCCACCGCTCTTCCACCCGTCGATGTATCATTTTTCTTGTCTATGTTGATAATATCATCATTACTGGTAATGACATCCCTGGGATTGCTCAATTAAAGCTTCAATTGGCTAAAGCTTTTGACGTGAAAGACCTTGGACAGCTCAAATATTTCTTGGGAATTGAGGTTGCTAAATCTAAGTAGGGTATTTCTTTATCACAAAGGAAGTATGTCTTGGATCTTCCTCGAGACATGGGTATGCTTGGGTGTAAACCTGCTTCCACTCCTATGGATTTTAATATGAAGATCTCAGCTGAGTCTGGAGATTTCCTTTTTGATGCCTCGCAGTATCAGCGCTTGGTAGGAAGATTAATTTATCTTACCAACACTCATCCTGATTTAGCTTTTGCTGTTAGTGTTGTAGGTTAGTTTATGCATGCTCCTCGTACAACTCATATGGATTCGGTATATTATATTCTTCGATATCTTAAGTCATGTCTTAGATTATTCTATTCTTCTAGCAGGCAGGTTGGGCTATCCTATTTCAGTAATGTAGACTATGCTGGGTCCAAAACTGACTGGTGTTCCACATCTGGCTTCTGTAATTTCTATAGAGATCATCTTATATCTTGGAAAAGTAAGAAGCAGCCTGTAGTTTTGATATCTTCAGTAGAGGCTTCGTATCATGCCATGGCCCAGGGTACTTGTGAGATTCTCTGGCTTTGATCTTTCTTGGAGGAATTAAGGCTAAGTGAAAAATAGTCCTCAGACTTTTTTGGGATAATAAGTCAGCCATCATGCTTGCTTCAGATTTTGTTCTTCATAAGAGGACTAAACATATAGAGGTGGACATTCATTTTATCAGAAATAAAGTTCGTTCGGGAATTATTAAGCCGTGCTTTGTTCGGTCCTCTAATTAGTGAGCAAATGTGTTCACCAAATCCGTTGGTCCATCTTTGTTTCATTCCTCGATTACCAAGCTGAGCTTGATTGATATCTTCACTCTAGCTTAAGGAGGAGTATTGAAATATTTGTATTATTTATTTATTTTTTTTATTAGCTGTTTTCAGCCTTTTATTAGGTGTTTTATGTAAGATCCCTATTAGCATGGGATCACGTAGATAAGATCTCCGTAATAATGGGATCACGTAGATTTTGGCAATTTTTTAGTTTTTCTTTGATTTGGTTTCTTTTCTTTGAACCATATTCTTGTATATAAATATAGCTCTTGGCTCTCGGTTTGAGTAAGCCAAAACCCAAAACTTCTTTTCTCTTCTTAAAATTTATTCTTGGTGCACTTATCTTTTTTCTCTCTTGTTATTTTATTTTTCTCTTATTCTTTAATTTTAGTGTTTGCATTTTTTACTTTTTTTTTACTGAAATTCTTTTGTGAACACTATCTGAATCTTTTTTTTTTGATAAGTAACATACTATCTGAATCTTGATTACTGCATTCTAATTGCACATCTATTTTTCTATTTGTTGTTTTGTTGCACTGATAGTTGGGGAAAAAAAAAAATTATCTTAGAAAATTTCCTCGTTGTCACTGAGTAGTAATGTAGGTGCAAAATTTCTCTCTCTATTAAGATAAAAAGAAAAATACAACTCACTCAAAAAATAAGCAATTATAATACTCAGAGATAAGCGTATAATGCTCGATGCTTTTATTGGAGGTCTAGGCCTCTATTTATAAGAAATAAGGTGGTGGAATTATGGTAAGACTCGCCTGGCTTGCCTTCCAATCCATTCCATATATAACATTCTTTACAATTATAATCCTTTCCTTTTTACAATTCTTTCGATGTAAAACTTTCCTTACGCAGAACTTGTTTTCTTTGCTGAATCCTTTGTCTAGCGGGATTGGTCTACCTTTAATTGAGATTGGGCTGCATGTGGGCTGATCCAAATGATTCGGTATATGGGCTTGGAGTTTAGCCTTGGCGCCCCAGGCTGTTGACGTCTTCACTAGGCCTGAATAAGATTGTACGCATCTGGGCTTAGTAAATGGGCCGAATAAGCTTAGTCAGTAGTCTATATGGAAACAAGACTTTGCCTGGGCTTATTCCGGGTTGGGTTCTCCCAATTTGGGCTTGATACTGATCGAGCCCTTGCTGAATCTAATATAAATTTGTAGTGTGATGACGTAGACAATTCTTACTGGAGGGGGGATTTTTTTCATCCACACTTTGCCCCCAATTTCCTCTTTAATTGGACTACGGCTCCTAATTAAAAGGGAATTAAAGTTGCACGATTGCCAATTCTACAAAGGCAGTTTAAGGTGTGTCCATTGCCATTCTGACTAAAAAGGCCTCTTCATAGTTCGTTCCTGACTCTACGACGTTTACTGTATTTATTGTTCTAGAATGATCTCAGGTTAGTTCCTCATTCATTTGTCTAATTTCTTTCACATTATGAGTTCGCCATCTGCTCACAACCGTATAGACCTTGCAAATTTGGATTCCATACCTTCTTCTTTTCCCAATCTCATTAGGATCCCTCCCCCTAGGGTTTCTGGCCTCGTTAAATTTGCGAACAATTCAGCAGTTCAAATGGATGTCTCCCCCTCACAAGCTGAAGTATCCACTTCCGGGTCAGATTGTGTGTTTACTAAAGAGCAGAGAAAGTTGATTTTGTCTGTTCGGCGTATCAATTTCTCTATTGAGTCTGTAATACAAGATTTTGAGATTCCTGATGGGGTAGACATTGTCGAATACCCAAAAGGGGTTGATTTTAGTTTTGGCGAAGGTGTAGGGGATAATGAATTGCTTTTGTCAGTTGGGCACCTTAACGCTCTTTGGTTCCCTCTTCACCCCTTCTATCATCTTGTCTTCAATAAGTTAGGACTTGCTCCTCTCCAAGTAAACCCTAACTTTCTTCAAATAGTCTCGGCACTTCTAGTTTGCCGAAGGTTGGAGAGTCTTGACTTGACTCTTGCTGACTTACTTATTACCTACACCATTGCCAGGCATGGGACTGAGCCTGGCTGTTTTTACTTCACTTCCCCTCTTCAGCAGAGGATATGTACGGACCTCCTTTCCTTTGAGAAGAAGTGGAAAGAGAGGATGATTATTATGAAGGGGAACTGGTCTGTGGATAAATTGAATACCCTTCCCATTCTTTACAAATTTGGGAAGCTAGGTATAGAATATCTTCCCTCATTCCATGAAAAGTGCTCTAGTTGTTTCCTATGTCAAGTTTTATTATTTCATTATACTTATGAATTTCTTAGTCTTCTTTCAACAACATTCCCCTCCTCCGCAGCTAAGAAGAGACTTGCTTTTCACGAAGCCCAAGTTTGGAGTGAGCCCCCTTCTGTTGAGGAGTTACTCACTTCATCCAACCTTCAAGAAATTGCTTACAGTGCCGCAACTATAGACCTTTTGGATTTAGCACTTCTATTTTTTGACAGCTTCCCCTTGACTGAGGAAGAAAAACTAAGAGTTGAAGCTCTGAAGAAGAAAGCTGCTGAAGAGCAACCTTTGCTAGTCATTAGATCGACTGAGCACGAGAAGGAGGTGGATGAACCTCCTCTTAAGAAGACAAGGTCAAACCCTCTTTCCAGCAGTAAGGGTAAGAACACCCTTAAAAGCAAAGGGAAGAAGGCTGGGGAAGCTGACCCAGAAGAGGAAGTTCGGGCTTACGTTCAAGCTGAATCTGGAGAACCTTGGAGACTTGTTTTCTCAAGGGCTGACAAGTCAATCCTTCATTCTGAGGATTCAATAGTCTCTACTGCCTTGGTGGTTGCTCGAGGGATATGGTTACCGAAGGATGAAGAAATCATTGGGAATCTGGGGTTAGATCAGCTACTACCATCTGCCCCAGTTGACGCTGTGAAGGTTTATTCTTTTCCCTTAACTTGCTTAATTCTTCAAATTTTTTTTTCATCGCATATTTATTGATATTGTCATTATTGATTATGTAGAGTCTGTACCAGACTATGGCATTGTGTGCCACTACTGAAGCTCAGTTTCTTTCCATTAAGAAACTGGAAAGAGACCTGGGCAATGCTGAGAAGAAGGCTTCGCATTTTGCCATGAATGCGAAGATCGTATCTGATGCAAGGGATGTCTACAAGAATCGCCTGGCAGCTTCTGAGGTAAAGGTGGAGACTCTGGAAGCCGAAGTCCAGCGTTTGAATGATGCCATTGGTACCTGCATTACTGCTGGGAGACAAATGCAAGGACATTACTCCACTATTGTGCGCTTATCCAGTGCAAAGGCTTTTAGGTTTGGTTTCAGCAAGGGTTTTCGTGACAAAACAAAGGATCCAGAAGCCTTTGATGTTGACATGGAAGTGTCTTTCCCTTACGCTGAGGGTCCAAAAGCCCAAGAGGCTGAGGTGCTCTTTGCTGAGATGGTGAAGGCTCATTCAGAAGGTCATCCAGCTTCAAGCTTGCCAGCTCCTCCATCTTCTGACTTGCCAGCTCCTTTATCCATAAGTCCGAATGTAGTGGATGTTTTTGACTCCGCTCTCTTTAATCCAAAAAGGAGGTAGAGTTGTGTAACTCTTTTTTTTTTTTTTTTTTTTTTTTTTTTTTTTTTTTCTTGTTTTGAAGGAATGAATGTAGAAACTATATATATTGTTGCTCTTAAAATGCAGTGACTACATTTATTCTGAAGTATCTTTCATGCTTGTGAATGCTTTTGATTTTTATACTACTATACTATAATAATGTGCTCCTATCCTTAATGAGGAAGGCACATTACCTGAGAACTTCGTACCTCTTGTGGTCTGAAGCAAAAACAGGAAAGATGATAAGAAGGGAATCCCTTTGACTATTTAATTAAAGTCTGAGGATGGCTTCTCCGTCTAGTATTCTAACCGTCAAGGGAACCCTTCTTGCCACTGATTCGTATGGCATAGATATATCAATACTTGTTTTCCTTGTATTATTTCGATGTGGGACCAAATGTTCCATGGGTTATACACCATTAGTCCATTAAAAAGGATCTGTGGGTGTGTTACCATAGAGAACTTTTGCCCCCAGTTGGTCTTATTCCTTATTGACGTAGCCTCGAACTTAAATCATCTGAGGTGGTACACTCTTTGGCTAGGAGCCAGAGAGAAATTGTATTGCACCGGACTCTTAAGGTCCAAAATGATATGTTCCTCGGCTTATGAGCCTGAGAGGAACTGTAGTATGCCGGACTCTTGAGGTCCTAGCGTTGTGTTCCTTGGCAATGAACCTATGAGGAACTGTATTGTGCTAGACTCTTGAGGTCCAAAGCGATGTGTTCCTCGGCTTATGAGCTTGAGAGGAACTATAGTATGATGGACTCTTGAGGTCCGAGCATTGTGTTCCTTGACAATGAACCTGTGAGGAACTGTATTGTGCTGGACTCTTGAGGTCCGAAGCGATGTGTTCCTCGACTTATGAGCCTGAGAGGAATTGTCGTATGCCGGACCCTTAAGGTCCGAGGCCTGATCTAGAAAACTTACCAAGTATACAAAGTTGGCCGAGGATTCAAAAATGACATGAAGCCAAGAAAGAGAGTAACTGTAATTGAGGAGTCCCCCATACATGTGTTTGGGAGACTTCTTTCCATAGAGATTCTCTTCGTGGCAACCAAATGTGGTGTGCTAACTCTATATTTACTATACACCTCTTGTACTCCTATTCGATGTGGGACAAGGATTTTTAATATGGGCCAAAAACTTGGTATGTTTCGAAAAAGAATTATTGCAAAGAATGCCCACTGGTACCAAGGTTTTTGTGGGATGGGACGTTACCGTTACCAGTGGGCCCTCTTTGTAATGCACTGAAATACTTTAATATTTCTTTATATAAATGAATGTACAAAGGTATTCTTTTTCGATGTGGGACAACAATACGATATGAGTTTTGAGCTAAGTAAAGCCTGAATGTTCAATAATTATTGGTTTGCAATACATCTGCACTCTAAAGTACGTTTCCCATGTAAAAAGACTTGTGTACAATTAATAAGCAAAAAATACGGCGTTAATTTGTTTGTGAAAATATCTTTCTTTTGTCGTAATATCAACAGTAGGGTATCTTTCTTTGTGAAAATATCTTTCTTTTGTAATATCAACAGTAGGGTATCTATATTGCCCCTTATGACGAAAAAACGAAAATAGCAACAAGTAATACCCCATATTACTAAAGTAAAAGGAGTAAAGATGTGTATTACTTAAGAAACTTTTATTATGTGGGCCTAAAAACAGCCATATTTGGATAGAAAATAGATGTATGATGTCTGTAAAATAAAAGTAAATAAACCATATTATCTAATGGTAGTACCTTTTCAAGTGTATTGCATTCCATGGACGTGCAACTGGATGCCCATCAGCTTCCGCCAATCGGTAAACTCATTTCCCTACTACATCTGCGACTCTGTAAGGTCCAATCCAATTAGGTTGTAACTTTTTTACATGGGCTGTTTCCTGCTTTAGCACCCAATCTCCTTCCACAAAATGTCTGAACCCGACTTGCTTGTTATAACTGTTATGCAACTGTTGCTGGTACGAAGCGAGCCTAATTGTTGCGGCATCCCTCTTTTCTTCCAAAAGATTGAGGCTGTATTCAAGCTGTTGATCATTATTACCTTCGAGCACCAAGTGGGTCCAAAGAGTAAGAACTGCTAATTCAGTGGAGATGACAGCCATAGACCCATAGGTCATGGCAAAAGGGCTTTCTCCTGTTGGCCTTCGTGGGGTGGTTCGATATGCCCAAAACACCTGAGGTAGATTCTCGTACCATTTTGATTTGAACTTTTCCAACTTTTTCTTCAAGTAGCTGAAAATGGTTCGGTTAGTTATTTCAGCTTGCCCATGCAATACCTCTAATTTTAAAAGGATATTTCTGGGATTTAATTTATGATTTAATTACATTTTAATTTGATTAATTGCTCAATTATTTTATTGTGGTGATTAAATTGAATTAATTGTGTTATTTTTAATTATTTACTTGGAAATAAATTGTTTAAGTGTATTTAATTATTATTTTTCATTATGTTAGTTTACTTAATTGGATTTTAATTTTTTTTTTACTTGATTTAATTATTGAACATTTTTAAGTTACAGTTAATTTTGGATTACACTTTATGTATAGGGAAGCTGCCATAGGGAAACATAGATAGTTTCATGGGCCGACTAGGATTGGAATTAGGAAGCCGCCATAGGGAAACATAAATAGTCTCATGGGCCGACTAGGATTGGAATTAGGGCTTAGTCTAATTATTCAAGGACTAGGGTGATTAAATTACACCTATAAATATACGCAATACGGTGGTTTAGGGTTTAGAAAAAATAAACGTAAGTTCTGCAAAAACAGAGACTGTGAGATATAGAGGGAAAACAGAGATAGAACTGGAGAGTGAACTTGGGTGATTCACAAAACAGAATCAAGGAGGGAAGTTTGGTGTGGGCTACTGGACTGTAATAGGAGCAGTAAGAGCTATTTAACACAACCAACGTGACTGGAGACGATAGAGGCAACAGTTAGAGATTTTTATTCAAAGTCTCAAAGACAAGCCTCTATTCTACTCCTTCCCTTAAGCCTGTGTTCTTTGCATGCTTAGGTGGTCTCCAGGACTTAAAATTGAATTTATTTTATTCATACAAGCATGTCTAAATTAAGTTTAAATCGTTGTATTCAAAACTGTTTTGTGATTGAAAGTTATTCGTGCTTAAAAATCTGTTTGCATTGGTTTTAATCTTGCGTAACCTTTGTGTATTTGGGATTGGAGGTATGCTTATAATTAATTCTGGACATCAATGGAACCCTAGGTAGTTAAATAAAAATTGTACAAAGGGTCTTGCATGTCACCAGAGGCAAAGAAGACAACCGGAAAGGTGTTACGGCTCTCAACGGAGAAGAGACGGCTCACCAAAGGAAGGAGCCGGCTCTAGGGATGAGAGAGCCGGCTCCCACTTGGGTGGAGCTGGCTCTATAAGGGGTAGAGCTGGCTCCCACTAGCATGCAGCCTGCTCCACCAAGGGAAGAGTCGGCTCCCTTGTTTTGGAGGCGGCTCTTTTTCCAGTTTTGTGGTTTTTCGATGGTTTGGGGTTCGGTTGGGTAGTTTGGATTAATGTTAAATTGTCTAGATTACAGATCATGGTCTATATAACTGTTATAAGCATTTAGAAATATTGGGAAGCATGTTAATATAATTATGTTGAAGCATGAACCAACGTAGGATTAAACAGGAAGCTTGTATGTGGAAGGTTAGATAGTTAGTTTAAATTGCTTACTAGAATTTTTAACAATTTGTATTTACATGATTTAATACAGTTAATCATGTTGTAACACTGTAATGAGCATAGTTGATCACTTGAAATATTTATGCTTAAATTGGAGTACCTAATTTTAATGTTGTAATTTATATAACTACATCAATCTATGGATTGTTTGGAGGAGTTGTAGTCTTACTTCGTTAATTTAAAAGACTAGAATAGAATTTCTAAATCTTAAATTGGATACATAAATTGGTTATACATATAATAGACTGTGATTACCTTTATTTTGGAGTATGGTTGATGAGTATTTATTATTGATTTGTCAACTATATTGGATGGAGGATGGTATGCATCGGTATAGGATGGTGGCATACTAGGTATGGATTAGTTCAAACATTATAACCTGCCTATTTTGGATTGAGGTGTGGATTTACCATAAAGGTTCAGTCCTACTCATATTTGTGTCATATCAATAAAGAATTGAATGACCTTTTTGGTTTCTGGATGGATTGTTATACTTATATCAGACCACTACAACAGATGGATGTTATTTTGTATTAGGAGTATACGTACTTTATATACATATCATTATGGTGCAATGGTATGAGCTTGAGTCTCAGGACCATGGTTAGGGTGCGTATATCACTGAGGATGGATAACTGGACATAGGTGTTGTTCCCTAGTAGGTTTAGGTACACATGACCACATTATGTGCGATTTGCATGGTATCTCTACTCAGGCTGAGACAGACCTATTGGACTAGTGAGCGTCCTATAGTCTGTAACTATACATATATGGACTACTCTAGATATTGTTGAGTCTATCTAAGATTTTGCGGATCGGGTTTATGTTTGGATCGTAGTAGAATAAGACTTGCATATGAGCCTGACCCACTCTTTTATTTTTCAGGTACTCATCAGTTTCAGGGTTAGAGCTTGGTCGTGCAGAGCAGATATAGACTTCCATTCCACCGACTACATAGGACTGCTTCCTGATTAGCTTTGGATTTTGATTATAGTTAGTTTATTTTACAGTTGGGATTTTTTATTAGGTGTCCACTAGATGGATTCCCGAGTTGTTAAATAATTGGAGGTTTTGGAGTTTGGATTTTAATAATTATATTTTGAAGATTTTTCATTAGAATTCATTTAAGCTATTTTTATTTACTTCTTATTATTTCATCTTGTATTCTTTGTTCATATTAGGTATTAATTGTTTGATATTTCCTTTGGGTTTGGGCCTGGGCCTGATCAACCCGTGTCTCGGATCCGAGGGGTATTACAACCCATTTCCCTGAGGATGGCTAACTGCAGCCAGCTTCCGCCTAATCCTATGCTCGGCGAAAAACTTTCTTGTGCTTCGGTTATCCAAGTTCGGGCCATTGTCTATCATGATAACCTTCGGCACCCTAAATCGGCAAATTATGTTGTTCTATAGAAAACTTTTCACTTGTTCATGAGTCATGCTTGAGTAAGTTTCGGCTTCAACCCATTTAGTGAAGTAATCCGTGGCTAGAAACACGTATTCCTTTTTCTCCACAATTTTGGGTAAAAGACCGACCATATCAATCCCACATTGACCGAATGGCTATAGATTTGCCATTGCGTGCAAATCTTCGGCGGGTTGATGTTTTATTGGACTATGTTGCTGGCACTTGTCGCATCTTCTGGCATACTCTTCAGCATTCTGAGCCAAGTAAGGCAAGAAATAACCTTGAGTTAGGACCTTATGTGCCAAGGATTTTCCTCCCGAGTGGTTGCCACAATCCCCATCATAAATCTGTTTTAGAATCGTGAGGGCCTCAGTGGGACTTAAACATTTCAGGTAAGGACTTGAAAATGACTTCCTATATAATTGATTATTGATGATAGAATATTTGGCTACGGTGAGCCTGAGCTTCTGTGCCTCAGCCTTCTGGTTCGGAAGAGTTCCTTCCTTGAGGTAAGCTTCCAATGGATCCATCCAGCATGGTTCGCATGGAACATCTGGGATCACCATTATCTCTTGCCGAGGGCTTATACTTGGTTCGTCCAGGATGTCAATTAGTACGATCTAGACCAAATCTTCATCTGAAGAAGACGTTGCTGCAGCCAACTGATCTACTTCAGAATTCTCTTCACGAAGTACCTGATGGAATTCGATTTGATCAAACCCTCGCGAGGCACTCTCCATAGCCTCCCTGTAGGCTTTCATTCTATCTTCTTTGGTCTGATACTGGCCTATTACCTGATTCACAACAAGTTGAGAATCACTAAAAACTTTTAAACACCTTACTTGGAGCTGGTTTGCTAACTGAAATCCTGTGAGCAAGGCCTCATATTTTGCCTCATTGTTAGTGGCAGGAAAAGTCAGACGAATTGATTGTTGCAGCTTGGTGCCTTCAGGGGTTATGATAACATTTCCGGCCCCGACTCTAATCAGGTTCGAGGAACCATCCACCTGAAGCTCCCATTGTGGCTCGGAAGGACCTGGCTCTTCAGGCTTATCCTCATGCTCCAAGAGGAAATCAGTCAGTGCATGTCCTTTGTGTGACACCTTCGGTTCATAGGATATCTCAAAGGAACTGAGTTCGATTGCCCATTTAGTTATTCTTCTGGATAAGCCTGGCTTGGAAAGAATGACTCGTATGGGGTAGTTGGTAAGAACTTTGATGTTGTGCAACTCAAATTAATGCCGAAGCTTTCTCTTTGCATACACCAATGCTAGTATGATCTTCTTTGCTTTGCTGTATCGTATTTTTGCATATGTCATTGTCTTACTAGTGTAGAAGATTGGATACTGATTCTTACCTTCTTTCTAATCAATACTGCACTTGTGGCTATGCTGGAGATTGCTAAGTACATGATAGGAGTTTCACCAGGTTTTGGAGCCGACAGAATTAGGGGTTCAGCCATATAACACTTCAGTTGGTTGAGAGCAGCTTGCTGTTAGGGTCCCCATATGTCTTTGCTCTTGGACCTTATTGCATCAAAGAATGGTTTGCATTTATCTGACAATCGAGAGATAAATCAACTGAGAGCTACGACTCGACCTGTCAAAACCTGTATTTCCCTGTGGGTTTTCAGTTCTTGCTTTTGTATAAGGGCTTGAGCCTGAGCCGGACTCACCTCAATTCCCCTTTTGTTTACAATATGGCCGAGGAACTGTCTTGAAAAAACCGCAAAGGAGCAATTCGAAGGGTTTAACTTCATACCATACCTTCTTAAAGTGTCAAAGACCTCTTGGAGGTGCTTAGGATGTTCCTCCTTCTTTACACTTTTGACCACTATGTTGTCGATATAGGCCTCGACCGTCTTTCTCGTCGAAGATCTTGTTAACAAGGCGCTGGTAAGTTGCCCCAGCATTCTTGAGTCCAAAGGCATAACTCTATAACAGTTGATGCCTTTCTTTGTTATGAAATCAGTTTTCTCATCATCCTTTGGATTCATATGGATTTAGTTATAGCTGGAGTACGCATCAAGAAATGTAAGCCATTCAAAACCAATAGTAGCATCAACCATCTAATCTATTTTGGGTAATGGAAAGTTGTCTTTAGGGCAGGCTTTGTTGAGATTGGTAAAATCTATGCACACCCTCCATTTTCCATTATTCTTCTGGACTACCACCACGTTAAAGAGCCATTGTGGGTAGTGCACCTCTCGGATGAAGCCCGCCTGAAGCAATTTCTTTACTTCTTTAGCTATAATTCGGTTGCGCTCAGGAGCGAACCTTATGTGCCTTTGTTTGATTGGTTTGAACACCAGATCCACCTTCAGGCTATGGCATAAGACTAAAGGATTGATTTCTATCATATCTGAATGTTCCCAAGCAAATGCATCTGCGTTCCGTCGAATGACATCAATTAATGCTTTCAAATACCTAGGCAAAAGGTTCTGTAATTGCTATTTAGACATGCTCCCAAGAGGTGCAAATGGTTAGGACTATTTTGTTACCTTCTTTGCTTCATTCTGTGCCAACATATAGTATTCTTTGGCAGTGAATTGATCTCCCCTAAGATCAATAACCTCTTTTCCGTCCAGTGACAAGCATCTCATCACTTGATGAAGGGTAGATGGAACCCCGTTCATTCGGTGGATCCAGCCTCTTCCCATAATAAGATTATAAGAAGGATGGATCTCCATTAGAATAAAGTTCTCCTTCAGTGTCCTCTTTGCCGCAGTCATGAACAGGTTAATTACTTGAAGAGGTTCCACCTTTGTGCTATCAAACCCCATCAAGGGGCTGGATGTGGGCCGAATTGATGATGACGGAATCTTCAGCTGCTCAAAGACCGCCTTTGTGATGATATTGGCACGACTACCTAGATCTATCAAAACCCTCTTAATCATGCAATTTTCCACCAAGAGACTGATGACCAACGAATCCTCATGGGGGAGTTGAACTGAGGATAGATCTCCATTGCCGAACCCAATATTGACACTTCTTGAAGTGATAGTGTTCACTGAGGATAATTTTCTTAGCTTATGGGCTGTCCTCAGTCGGGATCTATATACCTCCTCTGACTCTTGATCATCCTCCGATCTCCATGTATTGCATTGATGACCTTCACTTGATTACCTTCGACTTTCCGATGATTGACCTCCCGGGGCTTCACGTACTCCTTTGTTGTGAGGTAGTTCGCCAATTCCCCTCTCATTATCATGTTTTCCACCTGCCGCCTAGGGGATCTGCAATCATTAGTTGTATACCCGTAATCTCTATGGTAGGCACAATGATTGTTCTTATCATCTGCTCTAAAGGTTGCTTTATTGGCTGAGGGGCTGCAAACTTCATCTTATTCTCTTGGAATAGCCGAGCCAAGGTTGTGCGAAGAGGTGTGAATCTTTCCTCTATCCTTAGCCTTTTCTTAGGTACCTAAATGATTGGCGTTGAAGCGTGGTAGCTTTTTCGGCTTTTTGAATTTGAAACCCTTTCCTGAGGCTTGTTCTCCACTGTGACGAGGGTGGCATATTGCGCTCGGTAGGCTACATTCTCCTCAAGCCAGATGTAGATCTGTGCCCTAGCATTGAGAGTCTACATATCCGGAGGGGAATATTTAACTAGGGATGTCTGGAACTTAGTTCCCTAAATCATTGCAAGTTTGAACGTCTCTATTGTGGTAGCAGGATGGCAATCTGTTATTTTCGAAGCCTCCACGTTAAATCTGGACAAAAAATCCTGTAATGTTTTACCTTTCTTTTGCCTTATAGTGAAGAGGCTAGCAATGCTCTTCTTTTGATTCTTATTTCTGCAATACTACGCCAGGAACATAGTGTTCAGAGTTTTATAGTCTGGAATGGATTTGTGTGGCCTATTCTTGAACCACTCCAATGCAGCTCCTGTTAGACTGGTAGGGAAAACTTTGCATAACCATGGATCATTGTGATCGTCCAGAGCCATCTTCTGTGCGTAGTGATCTAGGTGCCAAGAAGGATCTCCCGTACCGTCAAACTGGGTAAATGAAGGCATAGAATTTCTTAGGTCTGTCAATAAGGTATACATCGTCAGTGAATGGTGTTTTCACGAGAGAATTCTTATGTTCCTTGGCCATCTCGGCAGGCGTTTGAACTCTCAAGAGTCTCTTCTCGTTAAAGGCCTCTTTTACTCCTACACCATCTAGAACACCATTAGACCATACCGTAAGCTTACGGTTGGACTCGGCCTATTCGTCCTGCGTGCGACGAGGAAGATTATCTAAAGCAACTGCCTCGGACCTCGTCCTTTGCTCTTGCTGAACCTCGTTCGATCGAACTTCATTAGGTCAAACGCTACTGACCTGAGGCTTATTAACCTGAAGAGCGTTTTGGCTACGAGGAGGTGCAGCCACATCAATTGGTGGTGGCTGAGATATCAACTGAGCCATAACAGTTTGAAGGGTGTCGTTTTGCTGTTGAAGCAATGCAATTTGGGCTATGCTGGCTTCGTTCGCCTGACGAAGTGTTTCAAATTGGTGCAAGAACTCTTCATGCTTCTTTTACATCAACTCCATCTGTTGGTCAGCCGCTGTTGATTCTCCATTCGACATTCCAGATCATGGAAACCGAAACAATTTGAAACAAAGGTGGGAGTATAATTCTATACATTTCCCATAGACGGCGCCAAAGTGTAGGTGCCAAATTTCTCTCTCTATTAAAATAAAAAGAAAAATACAACTCACTCAAAAAATAAGCAATTATAATACTCAGAGATAAGCATATAGTGGTCGATGCTTTTATTGGAGGTCTAGGCCTCTATTTATAAGAAACAAGGTGGTGAAATTATGGTAGGACTCGCCTGGCTTACCCTCCAATCCATTCCATATATGACATTCTTTATAATTATAATCTTTTCCTTTTTACAATTCTTTCCATGTAAAACTTTCCTTGCGCAGAACTTGCTTTCTTTGCTGAATCTTTTGTCTAGCGGGACTGGTCTACCTTTAATTGAGATTAGGCTGCGTGTGGGCTGATCCAAATGATTTGGTATATGGGCTTGTAGTTCAGCCTTGGCGCCCAAGCTGTTGACGTCTTCACTAGGCCTGAATAAGATTATATGCATCTGGGCTTAGTAAATGGGCCAAATGGCCTGAGTCAGCAGTCATATGGAAGCATGACTTTGCCTAGGCTTGTTCCGGATTGGGTTCTCCCGATTTGGGCTTGATACTGATCGGGCCCTTGCTGAATCTAATATAAATTTGTAGCGTGATGACGTGGACAATTCTTATTGGAGGGGGGATTTTTTCCCTCAACGAGTAAGAATTTAAAGAACAGAGCACAAATAGATGGCACAAAATAGTTTCGGAAAATAGAATTGAGTGCACTTTTTAACTTCATCAGTGGAAAGTAAAATTGAGCGCATCTTTTAACTTCACCGATTACAAAGGTTTTGGAAACAAATATAATGAATGTGAATTTTGGCCAGAAAATTTTCCTCATACTTAGCTATTCTATATTTGATTCCACATTATTTCAGGAAACATGTAAAACAGTATAACTACCTCAAGTTCACTACGTTTGCAAGATATAGGTTAGTATTATACTGAAACAGCACAAAAACATCATCCACCGTCCTAATATATGTGCAGTGTCTTACAATGTCCAGCAGACCTATAAAGCTATATATTAGTAGGATGCACTAGTTAAATTTGTTCAAATCTACGATATTGTTTCATTGTCAACAAAGATGAGTTTGGTTAACACATACCAGAATGACAATTACAATCAGTATCATCAATAAGCTCCTGAACACTAGTAAGATCTGCAGTTTCCTTTAGGTTCCTCCTCTGTCAAACAGAAGACTTGCACTCAAGTTCTTTGATATAAGTATACATACAGTAAAAACTTACTTGTGACTAGAAAAATACTATTAGGGAATTTGATCTTATATTCTGAAGAAATTATAGGAGTGGAAAGCAAAAAAGAAGCAAAGTGCACTACAGCGAGGTCGTTTTACACTACAGCAAAGTGCCCTCTAAAACCAATCTCTGAGAACATTTCTCAAGGAGATATAAATTCCAAAATAAACCAACGCCAGATATATGTGATAGAAAATGAATTGGCCAAATGACAATGGACAAGATTAATCATGTCTCCTAGGAGGCAAAGTCTCTAATGAAGCTGGTCAAAAATAAATAAAGGTTCACCTAGTACAGGTAAATTTTGAAGGATCGGGAGTGTGACAGAATTTATGAACATGGAAGGAATGCTATATAATCTCTATTTTAGGTTTGGGGCAAAAGAAGACTAAAGAAGAATGTGTTGGGATTTATATACCCTAGCATCGCAAATTCCTATTTGGATTATAGTGACATATGTTCCTGACATATCTGAAATATTTATGATTTATATAATTGGTGAATTCAATGTATTATGTTTCGATTCATTCTGGAATTGATAGTGTCCATTTGATTACAAAAGATATTTATATATGTATATGATGGCGATCAATACATGAATATAAATAATAATCATAAATTGTTTATAGTCAGTAATTATAGATGGACTCATTATTAACTAAGACTTGAACTAGATCCGTGTTAGGTTAAGAAATATTATGAGAGCCGTCGTATGCAATTGCTCCCTATCACCGTCATGGCATTTGACTTTTAAGCATGAGAGAAGTATAGACTCTTTTAATTAATTAGTAATTACTATGATTTGTAGTGCGGAATCTTTAGAATCCTTAGACCGGCACTTTGGGTAATTATGTAATTAATAGTTAGAGGGTTATATTTTCAATATTTGCATCATTGCTACTTATATTTATTTTGTATTGATTATGGTTGATCACAAAGTAAATTCGAGGCATTCGTGTGTTTTTAGACAAAATGATTTATTATATATTTATTTATTTAAATTATTATTTTTGTCAAACAAATATTTTATTGTGATCAAGTCGGAAATAATCAAAGGTACCAAAATAAATATATTAATTAAGTAGTCGGATTGATGGTTTTGTTTATCCGATAACTAATTATGCATAGAGGGGTCAAAGTGCGACATTGACTTAGATGTTATTTATTATTTAATTGGAGTTCAATTAATTTCTTTTAGTGGAGTAGAAATTAATTGAATTGGGTCTATGGACCGGGCCAATTATTAATTCATTATAGCCAAGAAAATAATAAGCCTAATAGGATTCTCACTCATAGCCCAACTTGATATTTGAATCTATTAGATTTTAGATATGTGAATTAGAGATTGAGAAGGATTTATTATTTCATTTTCTTATTTTTATGTTGCCTATATATACATGGGTTCATGTATATTTTAGGGGTGAATTTTGAGAAGAAAAGGAAAAATATATTTTCTCTCTCTAGATTTTTAGGGTTTGTGTTCTCATCTAATAGAGGTTCCCACAAGCCTATTTTTCCAAGGTTATTCGTGGAGATTTATGAGTGATTCCTAAAGGCAAGACCATTACCAAGAAGATGGAGATCCATGGAAAAGACATATAGCAAAGGGATCTACAATAAGTGAGAACTTTCACTTTAGAGGAAAGATCTATGATTTACTTAAACCTTGATGTAAGTATTCAATCTATTAATTGAATAATACATCATATTTTATTTTTGTATAAAACTTGCCTCTATGTGATGAATCAAGATCTATGTATGAAAATCCCTTAGAAAGTTTTTAAAACTTGCACGTTTCCCAATAGTGGTATCAGAGTATGGTTTAATTCATTACTAGAGATCATGTTTTTTTTATGAAAATCATCATTTATGGATCCAAATTTTTTTCGCATATATAAATTTATTGATATATGTTGATATATATTGATACATGATGATGTATATGTAATTATGAATGGATGATGATGTATGTTTGGGCAATGGATGAAACTTATAGGTTAAATTAATGTAATTTTATCTTTGGATGAATGTAATTAAGGCTTTGATTTTGCCATTTGAAAGTTCAATGATATAATTTAATTTTTTCCATTGTATTTCAAATTATAAATATTTTTAAAGCCATGTAATCTTCATCAAAGAATGCTATTAAGCTTCAAGAAGGTCCAAAAGGGTTAAATTAGGCTTCTGAAATTTTCTGAAATTTTTCCGGAATTTTTCAAAGTTTTTTTGGAATTTTTTGGGCTTAATTTAATTTTCTGGGAATTTTTATTAATTTTCTACAATTTTTCGGCGATTTTTTGTCGACCGGAGTATCGCCAGCGGCGGCAAGGCAATGCCGAAACAAAGGAGATTTGATCAAGTGCTTCGCGGTCCACCAAAATAAGGTGCAACCGCATGCACAACCCTTGGATCAAAGTCAACAAAGGAGTAAAGATCAAGTGTTTCGCGGGACAGAGTGCACACCATGTGCACAAGCATCTGGCATGTGAGGACCACGTACCAGCAAGGACAAATGCGCTGGTTATTCCAGCACCCTTCAGGCGCGTGGGTGTGTGTCAGGGCTTGTTTTTGGCTCCTGTAGGTTCACAGAACCTGACGGTGGATCTCCAGGCTTATTTTGAGGACCCTTACGCAATACTTAGAGCAATTACATGTTAAAAGCTAAATCCATTGGCCATTTTATTTGCTTTATCTGTTATTTTTTTATTTATGCGATGTATGAATTACATGGAATAGATAATTGTTTATTAATTATTATTCATGCATTGGATCCATGATATTTAATTAAATGACTTGATTTATATTAATTAAATTATGAAAATTAATTGGATTTGATTACTAATTAATTAGAGGGCACTTATTGGGAAACGAAAAATTATTTTTAAAGTGTGTCTTAAATTAAATATTAATGAATCATTTAAAAGTCTAGATATTTTTATAAATTTAATTGGATTAAAATCAAGGCGTTTTGCATGCATCATATCATGTAAATGAATAAATTGAAAACCCTAATTATGAATGATTAAAAATTGAGTGGGAGCAGGAATTTTTATACATTACCCCATGGCCTTCGTTATTATAACTATTGTTATTAAATCTTTAAAAATAAGGCCCCACGCATAATTTGAAGAGTCTAAAAATTACAAGAATGGTTTTCTCATGAAAATAAAAATATTAAATGTTCATCGTAATTAGATCTTTAAAAATAAGGCCCTACGCATGATTTAAAGAGTATAGATTATAACGACAAGATATTTAATGTTTTATTTTTCATTGGAGCATTAATAACGTTATACACTCAATCTAAAATCAATAGTGTTAGCTCCCCAACGGAGTGGTCTACAGTAGGTGATTTTAGAAAGGCTAAACAACATAATCGGGAATCATTTCATATAGATAGACAAGGCATCGTATTAAGAGATATGAAAATGATGGGATTTGCTCACCAAGAGCAATAATGAATTTCGCCAACCAAATAAGTTATTGACGTATTGGTTATCTGATTATTCATATAGTGGTTCAGGGATCCACAGATATTTTAATGGAAGTGCTCGCATAATAGCAAATGAATCTCAACAATAGTAATAATGAACTCCTCTATTAGGATAAGTTATTGACGTATTGATTGTGTGATTTATTATGCTACGAAGTAGAGGGACCCACATTAATTAAAAGGGATTGTTCACCAATAATGATAATAAACTCTTATTCTATTGAGATTTATTATACTATGTGGTTGACAAACTCATTTTAATTTTAAATATGCATGTATTATTAATATTTTACTTTGCATATTGTATAAATGCATTTATAATCAGATTATTTATGTCTGATCTATTTTATCTGCTTGCTACTATATTCAATGTAATTGGACCTCATTTATACTGACTGAAAAAAGGAACTTCGATATTTTACTCACAACGTAAGGGTACAAAATGTGTTTACTACTCCCATACCTAATTCCCTTTTACTTTAAGATACCCAAGAGAACATTAATGCTTTTAATAATTGGACCTCATTTATACTGACTGAAAAAAGGAACTTCGATATTTTACTCACAACGTAAGGGTACAAAATGTGTTTACTACTCCCATACCTAATTCCTTTTTACTTTAAGATACCCAAGAGAACATTAATGCTTTTAATAAGTGAAATACGACAAATGATATGGCTTGGTGCAACATTCTAGAGTTTATCTCAAATACGCTCCAAAACTTATATTTGTATTATTTTATTTGCTTTAAGCATCATATTATATCTCAATAAGATGTTTTAGTGAGATTAGATAGAGCATATGCCTAAGTACTATGTCAGATTTAAATACCATCAAGATAGCCTAAGGATCTCTAGTAAAAGATCGAATTTGGAAAATGATCGTTTATTATTTTTAAAAATTGAACTGGAGGTCAATAGGGCTAACTTGAGTGGTAAGTTTCAAGTTGACATAATTATTGCCTTGTTACCAAAACTCGTTCAACTCTTTTAGAGTGAACTAAATAAGGAACCAGTTTGAGTTCACACTCGCTGATATTCTTATAGAATTGGTAACATATGAAGGGATAATCAAAAGTATGGGCATTCCTATCAATCTAACCTAGTCTATACTATCTTCTTCTAGGCCTAAGTGGATGGGCAAAGGAAAGAAGAAGGATGATAATAGGACTAGGCTAGCATAAAACATGGGTATCCAAAAGGTTAAAGGGAATAAGGCAGTGTATGTTGAGGGCGAAAGAAACTGTTTCTTTTGCCGCTAATTAAGACATTAAAAGACGAACTGTTTAAGCAATGACGTGGCATAGGAAAATGTATATTTAATCATTGAGTCATGTTATGTGGTTGTATCTATTAGTTCCTGATGGATAGATTCTAGAGCCACTAAACATGTTTGCAATTCGTTGCAAGGATTTCAGAAATCCAGAATCCTCGAT